AGGAAAGAAAGCACATGTGAGGCCATTTCCCTCCCGGTCAAAGTACAAAACCCACTGTCTATTACACGGTTCAATTGGGTTGATCTTTGGTTCATTTGAAGTGCTGTTTTTACGTGCTGGTCAAAGAATACAAGAGATACAGTAAATATAAGTATAAACACTTCATTGTTCACGTTCAGAGAGACATGCCTCCCAAAACTGATATTTTGGTCTTTCAGTTTGCCCTGAGTTCAATTCAGTGTATTAACTAGTATGAATAATTCTCTTTAGATATAAATCTTAACTGAGAGAGCAATAACTCTGTTCTAACCTAGTTTCTCTGAACTTCTCCTAAAAAGCTGCAATACCGGCAAATCATGGAATTTCTCAAGGAGCTGGAACGAAAGGAGAGGCAGGTGAAGTTCCGAAAGTGGAAACCCAGTGTGGCAGTATCGAAGAAGTAAGGGCTTCTGCATGTTGTATATACAATATATTTTACAACATGTTTTTTGCACATCGAATAGAAAGATGCCTCACTGTCCTTTACACATGACTGGAGATAAAAATATAATTGATTTTTCTGTATGTTGAAAAGCTATTCCTGTTGATTATCATTGTTGCAATAATTACTGCATATTTATTTTGTGTTACAGGTTAACCCTTATAACAAATATAGTAAAATTTAGATGACTCGTTCAATCTTGTTTAGCAAATAGATTGATGTTGCTCTGGTGGGATCTAGTGTGTTGTAAATAATGCCATTCTTTGAACCTGCTTCCCTATTGTTTTCCACCCAGTTTGTTTGGTCAATATTTATCTCATGCACTTTCTAATTCCAAAACAAAAATAAATCCTCTTGTCATGTTGCCCTGATAAACTTGACCAGTTTAATATATTATGACTTTTTAAAGATCTTGTATGTTACCTTGTTTTTTTTTTCTTAGAAGTATTGAATTAAATATCTTTAATGGTTGAATCCTTACTAATTATCTTAAGATGGTGTGTATCTTTGAGTCAGCACTTGATTTTCTGTCACTGGAAAGACTGATATTATGGATCATTCAAACCAGTCAAGAGCTATATTATTATTGATACAGCAGTTGGGGGTCTGTTGTTTAGTGTTCATTGTCAGCAGATTTACTTTCTTCACATATTGGGTTTAGCTTAATATAAAAATGAGCTTGAGACATAAACTGATAGCCAACAAGAGAAAAGATGTCTCAGAAGAGTGACGTTAGGCGGAATATCCTGGAATGATAACATTTTATTATAGTCGCCTTTATTGTAAGCAGTAATTACATCATCATGGACCGTTTCAGCTGCCGAGAGTGGTGGTATTTTGCCCTGAATGCTAACTTGTATGAGATCAGAGAGCAGAGGAAATGTTGTACCTGGGACTTTTTGTTACACCGTGCCCGTGATGCCGTGTCTTATACCGACAAATACTTCCGCAAGTTAAAAGGAGGGTTGCTATCTGCAGAGGACAAGGTTAGTGAACTGTTGCCTTATGTTTCGTATCTTCACTCAGAGGATGAAAATGGTCTCTCAAAGGCAGAGGAAAATGGCATCTGTGAAGAAATAGTCTCCTGTCAAGGGGCATAAATTCACAGGAAAGACTTGGTCTTACTAGGATGAGAAGTTCTTGGAAGGCTACTAGCCTTACCTTGACCAGAAATGTCCTCTACCCACTGCTGCCTGAGAAGAGTCAGGTTATGGGGTGAGAGGAAGAAAAGATGGTGAGGGTCCTGGCATGCTTTTGTGCTCCTCCCTTCTTCCCAGCTCTCCTGAAGGACCCAGAGAGACATTTTCATGTGGTCACCTATGTCTCTTAGAAGCCTGATCTTAGTCCTAATTCTTTTCCTCAAAAGTCTGTAACTAATCTCTGTAGGCTTTGGCCTGTATCTTCCGTAATTCCAATTGGAGTTTTCGACCTTGGACTCTTGTGCAAAGAGGCTAAGCAGAAGTAGGTAAAGTCGGTGGGGAAAGCATGCTTGTGTCCTATATAGTTACCTGTAAGGCTGCAGACCCTTAGAAGGCCACTTCTGGAGTCCTGGCATGAGATCCCTCTCCTCCTGTCTGTCGACCTGTTACCTCTTAGGGGGGACAGTAATGGGGACTCCTTTCTTCCTTGATTTATTTGTTTTTTTTTTGAAGACCAGATACTGCAGAAGCAATTTAGACCATTTCCATTATTTTGACTCAGGTACTGTCTTCTAACTAACCATTTCTTTTTTTTTTTTTAAGAGGTTTTTGCTATAGGGCATGTGCGCTCGCCAGACAGACAGAAAGTGAGAAATCACCCCCTAGGGGGGATGGCCACGCCGCAATCCCTTCTCCTCCATTCTCCTCTTGGGATCTTGGGCGCACACGCACATGCGCCCAGCGTGAGTTTTAAGCCACCGGGTCCAGGACGTGAACTGCGGTCGACTAGGTGGGAGTCCAGCGACATAGCCATTATGCTAACTGCTGGTCCCTCCTAACTAACCATTTCTTTAGTAGACTCTTCCACATATAAAGAAATACTCCTTTCCCTCCAACTCCCACTTTGTGGTAACCAGTGGCAATGCTGAATCCCTAGGGGTTCTTATCTCTCCTGCCAATACCTTCAGGCCATAGCCTAGTTGGTAATGGTGTTTTCCTCAGTGTCAGACAGAGTTACTAACACAGGAATCTCATAGCAAGGACAGAATAGATCAGACATTTTGTTTTGGCTGGTTCTCTTAAAGGCACAGGCAAAGGCATGGAGGGAGAGAAAAAAATCTAAATTACAACTGAGGTGAGTAAGTAAGTACATATAGTCTCCTTTTTCTTTTTCTTTCTTTTTTTCCTTTTTTTTTTTTTTTAAGGTTTTTGCCGTAGGGTACATACGCTCACTGGAAAGAGACCAAGAGGGAAAGTGAGAAACCATACCCTAGGACGGATGGCTGTGCTGCAGTTCCTTCTCTTCTTGGGATTTTGGGCATGCATACACACACGCCTCATGTGATTTTCAAGCTATCAGGTCTGGGACTTGAACTGTGGTTGGCCATGTGGAAGCCCAGCACCTTAGCCACCACGCCATCTCCTGGCTCCAGTCCTTTTATTAATGTTAGGATGCAAGAAACATTTTAGGATAGCCAATTCTTGTTTTATCTTGCCATTTGGCTGGCTGCCATTATTCTTGCCTAACTAGCATGAAACAAGTTAACATACCATGTCCTTGCAGATATCCTGTATGAAATATACAGGAGCAGGGGCCTGCACACTTTCTCAGTAATCTTCATTCTTGGTTTCCTCCTCTGAAGGTAGAAGGAATGATAACCAACCTGCTTACTTTAATCACTTGAGCTGTGCACATCCAAGCACTTTAATAGTGCTTTGTAGAGGAGGGACTGCTGCAGTGTGGACACTTACGTGACCCTCTTAAACCTTAGCACTCCACTGCTCTTTGGTTCTCTCTCTACTTACTGTAAGTCCCAGGTAGCATGCAACTTGTTAGTAACATCTAATGGGCTATATGGAAAAGCTATTTAAGCCAGGAATAGCCATCATAGAACTGTCTTATTTCTTGACCTTCTGTGGAAAATGTTGGGGTCCAAACAGGTTCCTGTGCTGCACTTGTAGGATGTCCAGTTTCTTTGGAGCTACACTATCTGGTTTTTTGCTTGTTTTTATTTTCACCCAAACAGGAGGAAATGTGTCGGATTGAAGAGGAACAGAGCTTTGAGGAATTGAAAATTCTGCGTGAGTTGGTTCATGATCGATTTCACAAACAAGATGAACTGGCAGAGGTAGGAAATCCTCTGGGAAGATGTACTTAGTCCTAGCTCACGCTGAGTGCTTCCGTGGGGCAGTAGCTGTTGGCATGCCACAGCTCTCCCGTCTGTGGTACTCAGACCTGCTCATTTGTGATTGACAGAGTCTGCGAGAGCCTCAGTGGGATTCTCCAGGAGACCCTCCAGGAGGCCCAGAAGCCAGCGGAGGCAGCGGGATGCTGCAGTATCTTCAGTCCTGGTTTCCTGGCTGGGGTGGCTGGTACGGGCAGCCTACCCCTGAGGGGACCACAGTTGAGGGACTGACAGCAGAGCAGCAGGAACAGTGGACACCTGGAGAGATCCTGGGTATGGTGGGGCTGGCCTTCCCTGGGCCCCTTGGCTGTGGTGGGGCATGCTTAGTGCAGTTAGGTCTGTTATTTGTGCAATGGCCTGTGGTATTTTTCAAATTTAATGCAAGTTTATGTTTGGAAAAGTTTGTTTTGTGTTCATAGAGGCAGAGAGAAGATACTCCATTTGCTCCTCTATTACCAAGTATGAATATTAGTACCGTTTCTGATGGATCTAAGTGGCAAGTTACAAGAGAACTAAATTTGAACAAATTCAAAAGAAAATTTTAAAGAATTATTTATTTAATTTAATTTTATCATTATTGTTATTTTTAAAAAATTTGCTACAGGGTACATGGAACTCACCAAAGAGAGGGAGTGAGAAAGTAAGCTGCCGGGTTTGGGACTCGAGCAATGGTCGACCATGTGGGAGTTCAGTACCTGAACTACCACCCCACCTGCTGGCTCCAAGTTCAAAAATTTTAAACTCTGCAGCTTGACTGTCAGTCCAGAGCCACTCTTTAGCCCTGTGCTATCCAATATGGTTATCAGAGCCAGAAATGGCTGTTTAGGTACAGTTGAATCAAACCTAGCACTCTACCCACATTAGCCACATATGTGTGCCACCAGGGCTCAGTAGGCACGTGTGGTAGTGGCCACTGTACTGGACAGTACACGTGACCCCATGTTGGGCACCACTGCCTCACATAGTGCCTTACCCTGCTTTCTGTCATGAGTCTCATCCTCCCTGGTTGGATAATAAATTGATAAGAGCCCTTGTAAATTAGAGTCATTTCAAAGTAGCAGATTAAACAGTCACCCGTGACTTTGGAATTTTTCCTTAAAAAGGGGAAAAGCAGTTAAATAACTCCATCATCCTTGTGATTGTTGTGCCTGGTTGTGCTTTTTTTTTTATTCTCCTATGTTCTCAAGGCTTTTTTCCCTTACCATTAGGCACTGAGGAGTTCTTTGACCCCACGGCAGAGGCCTCGTGTATGAATACGTGCACAAAGCGAGATCACGTCTTTGCCAAGCTGAATTTGCAGTTGCAGCGTGGTACAGTGACTCTGTTGCACAAGGAGCAAGGGACTCCTCAGATGAATGAAAGTGCTTTCATGCAGCTTGAGTTTTCAGGTACTGCCTCCCCAAAACTACTTGCTGCTCTTTATCAAGAAATCAGTGTCCCGTTGATTGTCATTTGTAGTAATTATAGTGAGTACTGGGTTAGCTAATACTGACCTATTGCTCCTAGGACAAATACAGGTTCAGGTTTCTGTGAGCCTCTGGACATAACAGTCGTTGATCAATCAGTACATAACTGTTGTTTTTATTTCTAGATGTGTTTAAAGACTTATTTAATATACACATCATTGTTAACTCATTAACATTGAACTCATGCCTATTGCTTATATATAACTCAGATCTGAATGTAGCTATTCTTTTTTATTTATTTATTTTTGAGAGATTTTTCCTATAAGGCATCTGGACTAGCCAGAGACACAGAGAGACAGAGAGACAGAAAGCAAGAAATCACCCCCCAGGGGGATGGCCATGCCACAATCCCTTCTCCTCCATTCTCCCCTCAGGAGTTGGGACATACATGCACATGCGCCCAGCATGATTTTTAAGTTGCCAGGTCTGAGATTTGAACCGTGGTTGCATGTGGGAGTCCAGCAATGTAACCATTACACCATCTGCTGGTCCCTGAATATAGCTTTTCTTCTCTTTTCCTTTTTTTTTGGGGGGGAGGGGGAGAGGTTTTTGCTATAGGGCACGTGCACTTGCCAGAGAGACAGAATGCGAGAAATTACATTCAGGGGGGATGGCCACGTCGCAATCCTTATCCTCCATTCCCCTCTTGGGATCTTGGGCCACGCATGTACACATACCTGGCATGAGTTTAAGCCACCAGGTCTGGGACTCGAACCGTGGTCAACTACTTGGGAGTCCAGTGACATAGCCATTATGCTAACTGTTGGTCCCTGAGTATAACTTTTCTTACATATTTTCTCTGAAAGCACATCATAGCCGTCTCACAACTAAGAACACTAGGCAGCACTTGAGCACTACATTTAAACTAGCAGCACCGTGAACAAAAAGCATAAAAGTGTGAAAGATTTGGCTCTAAAATGGCCATGAGCTGTCCCGAGGGTAAGAGCTGAAACAAGAAAGCAGAGTCCTGCCTTGTTGGAGCTCACCTGGGGATGTACACGTTGGCGACTCTTAATTTTTTGGAACTCTGTGTCTGAATGGCAAGAAAATGCCACATGGATTGATTTTGGTGCTACAAATATATTTTAGTGAGTAGGTAAAGTGCATATGTGAAATCCCTGAATAATCAGGGTCGACTGTATTTGACTTCTCTTTGTAACTTAGAATTACAAGTGTGTAGATAGATACTTTGATACTGGTTTGGACATCTCATAACTATTTCTATTTCAATCCATAACACTGTAGCTTATCTGTGATTGCTCAGTAGTTGAAGAACGATAAATGATTTTTTAAAAAGACAGTTTTGTTCGACTTCATAATTTTGAGAGCTGAGTTATTATAAATTTAGTGTGAACTAGCAGGTGATTTAAACTTTTTTTTTTTAATTTCTAGAGAGCACATGCTCTTGAGAGAGAGAGAGAGATAGAGAAAGTACTTCCCACGGCGTGCGGTCATACTACAATCCCTTCTTCCCATCTCTCTATTTTATCAGGATCTGGGGCACGCATACACATGTGCCTGGTGTGTTTTTCAAGTGTCTGGAGCTGAGATTCAAACTGTGGTTGGCCAGTTGGGATCCAGCTCTCTTAACCACTAGGTTATAGGGCCAGCCCCCTTGAATAATTGTAAAGGCTCTATTTGAAAGTTATTCTGCTGGGAAGCCTCTAAAATATTCTTTGTATATTTAGATAGATATGTTAATATGTAGATAGGTTTTTTTTGGGGGTAGGTTGGTTTGCATTTTTTGTTTGTTTGGTTTTTTTTGGAGAGGTTTTTGCTATAGGGCACGTGCGCTTGCCAGACAGACAGAGACAGAGAGATAGAAAGTGAGAAATCACCCCCCGGAGGGATGGCCAAGCCGCAATCCCTTCTCCTCCATTCTCCTCTCGGGATCTTGGGCACGCACGCACACGCGCCTGGCGTGAGTTTAAGCCACCAGGTCCGGGACTCGAACCATAGTCGACTAGGTGGGAGTCCAGCAACATAGCCATTACGCTAACTGCTGGTCCCTTGTTTTGCCTTTTTTGTGAAACTTATTCATTTGTTTCTTCTGAGACAGAGAGAGAAAGGGGTACCCCCAAGTGGGTCCACATGCTGTAACCCACCCCCAGTCTCACACAGCCCAGATGATAGGCCCGTGTACGTAGTCACAGCCAGGACATGGACCTAGACCTTTCCCATGTGTGTACATTTGTATTACCACTGCACACTACCTGGCCCCTATTGGATTTTTTTTGTTCTAATTTTAAGGAAAAGGAGTTCATGATATCTAATAGCCCTCTGTAAAATATTATAGCTAATACATTTTAAACACTTTAGGTTCTCTCGTTGCATCACACTTCAGGTTATTATCTTGTTGTATCAAGTCTTACATTTATCTTTCATAGATGTGAAACTTCTAGCAGAATCTCTTCCTCGAAGAAATTCCTCCTTGCTTTTAGTCCATTTGGGTGGACTGTTTCTTCGAGACCTGGCTACAGAAGGAACTATATTTCCTCTTCTCGTCTTCCCTAATCCAGTATGTACAGCAGTGGGGTGGTTACTACATCTGAATTGTGGTCTGTGTTGGTAAATGATCATCTTAACCTGATTCTTTCTGACATTTCCTCATCTCGAGACAGATAGGCTGGGGTAAGTTTAGTTTTTAATTAGTTAGGAAGAAAATGTTGGTGAAATTTGTGGCTATACCTTTTTCTCCTCCTTTGTTTTAGCTATTAAGGAGTAATTTCTCTGATTTGGAAGAGAATGCCAAAAGTACCATTATTTTCTATATTTTAAGATCCACGTTTAAGGGGCTGGCAGGTTGTGTAGTGGTTAAGGACATTGGACTGTCTCATGGCCGACCGTGGTTTGAATTCTGGACCTGGCGACTTGCTTTCTCATTTTCCTTCTCTCTCTCTCTCCCTGTCTCTGTCCAATTCCCTCTCTGTTCAAATTAAAATAAAGAAAGAAAGAAAGAGGAAATAAATCTTAAAGAAAGAAAGAGAAACTAATTCTTTTTTTAAAAAAAAAAATCCATGTTTGAATTTCCTCTGTATCCGAGAGTCATATTCATGCACTCTGATATGAAGTCTCATCTTTCCAGGCTCAGAAAGACAGCCATCTCAAGTATTTTTCTTTCTTTTTATTTGGAGAGTTTTTTTCGCTATAGGGTGTGTGCGCTCGCCAGACAGAGAGAGACATAGAGATAGAAAGCGAGAAATCACCCCCCAGGGGGGATGGTCACGCCGCAATCCCTTCTCCTCCATTCTCCTCTCGGGATCTTGGGCATGCATGCACACGCACCCGGCGTGAGTTTTAAGCCACTGGGTCCGGGACGCGAACTGCGGTCGACTACGTGGGAGTCCAGTGACATAGCCATTACGCTAACTGCTGGTTCCCTCAAGTATTTTTCTGTGTATGTGTTTTTAATTTGCCAGAGGGTGCATGTGCTTGCTAGATAAAGAGAGGGAGAAAGCCGGCAGTGGGCCATGGTCACTCCACAATCCTTTGTGTTTCATCTCTCTATCCTGTTGGGATTTCAGGCACACATGTACACACACTGAGCATGTTTTCCAGGCTTTTGGAGCTGGGATTCAAACTGCATGCTTGGCCATGTGAAGTCCAGCTTTCTTAACCACTGGACCATAGGGGTGACCCTCAAGTTATATTTTTATATATCTAGTTTTTATGTATGATATTCTTTATTAATGATAAGATCAAAGATCTTATCAAGTCTGCAAAGGTATGGTCCAAATAGTAGATCATTTGGCCATTTACTTTGTCTATAACTTTTGGGGGGATTTGGTAGAAGGTTATGCAGAAGATGGGAGGGCAGACTTAAAGTTTGAAAAGTTACACTTGTTTAATACTCATTTAGCAATCATTTATTAAATGTGCTGAATGCAGCAGAGCAGACTGTTAATAAAAAGAAGAGTTGGTCTTACTGGGTTGGGGAAAAGGCACAAATCTGAGTAAGTCTGCAGGACTCAATAGTCTGATATGCAGTGAGTTTTGGTTTGATTGTGCTGAGAGTGATGAAGAAGGGTCAAATGTGAGTATATGTATAATGAATTGTCCTCCCTCACTCTGACATTTATGCATCATTGTATGTGTGTTTAATAGCAAAAAGAAGTTGGCAGAGTGTCACAGTCTTTTGGCCTTCAGAACACATCTGCAGACAGAAGTGACCATTACCCTGGTAATTCTTCATGTATTCTTAAAATCAATCCTTAAAAATCTTACTGTTACAGATAGGTCGCGTTTGGTCAGTGGAAAAAGAGGGAGTGTTTTCTGTATTGTGCACAGTGGTTTGCCGTGGGGTCTGTGTTTGACTTGGAGACAGTTCGGTGTTCTCTCAGTAGAACCGTTAACCTGGGTGAGCTGGGGCAACTTTGCAGGGCCTCCAGGTCCTTGGTCTCTGTCATGGGAGCCAACGCAATAGCTGAATGGTCATATTTCCTGTTAAAAATGAAAGTGTCTGTTCTTATAAGGCTCGCTATTTTTGAAATGTGCATAAATATCAACTAATTGGAAAATAATTAGGAAAATGTCTTTTTTCCTAAAATTCTTTACTGGTTAATAGGAATAAGGTGATTGTTTTGCGTATTCCATTTTCCTTTTCTCCTGTTCTTTCTCTTAGCTGCGGATCCAGATGACCCAGTTTTTGAGATGCTGTACGAGAGAAATCCAGTGCACAGCCATTTTGAGAGGCGGCTCAACGTCAGCACGAGGCCCCTGAATATCATCTATAACCCCCAGGCTATAAAAAAAGTAGCAGACTTTTTCTACAAGGGAAAGGTTCATACCTCAGGTTAACTTTTTTGTTTGTTTGATCTTATGTTCCTTTTAAACACATCTTTCCTGTCATTTCTGGTGCTTTTTACTAGGGTTTTTATCATTCCAATGACCTAATAAGTGGTAGAAAAGCCCTGCAGAGTAAGTGGACAGAATAGATATCTGTGGACAGTCTGTTTTCCATGAGAAATTTCTTTTACTCACTTGGTATAGCAGTGTATACTGCCAAGTTCTTAATATCATTATTGATTTATTTATGCCTTCCTTTGTTCCCGAAAAAGATTTTAGTGAAAAAAAAAAGTACTTTTATTGATAGGGATACTGGTGAAACAATAGAATTTTTCCTAGACATATTTTCTCCTTCCTTCTTTATAATAATGAGGCTTTTTTAGTTTCGGTCCAGTTTTTGAGTCATCACAGGAATAGCAGCCATTGCTTCTTTGATGATAGAATACATTAAGTTGTCAGGAAAGTCGTGACATATTTTTCTTTTTTTTTTTTTTTTGAGAGGTTTTTCTATAGGGCACATGTGCTCGCCAGAAAGACAGAGAGAGACAGAGAGGCAGAAGGAGAGAAATCACCCCCGAGGGAAGATGGCTACACTACAATCCCTTCTCTTCCATTCTCCTCTTGGGATCTTGGACACACATGCACATGTGCCTGGCGTGAGTTAAGCCACTGGGTCCGGGACTCAAACTGTGGTCAACTACATGGGAGTCCAGCAACATAACTGTTATGCCAACTGCTGGTCCTGTTGTGACATATTTTTCTATGCAAAAATGCATCATGACTTTCCCAATAACCCATTAGAAGACATTTCCATCAAAATTTCATTTTGCCTTACAAGGTCATGTCCTGCTTATTAAGGGTTTTGAAATACAATACTTTGGAATCCTTCAGAAAATGGTGCAAGAAATTCTAGTCACGTAGGTACCTCTTCCTTTCCCTCTTGGCAGTCCATGAACCATCTTTGCCTCCTTGCGAGCCCTGTATTATGCAGGGTCATACTGGAGAAAGAACACTTTTTGTTACTGATTGTTTTTCAGCTTTGGTGGAAGTTCTTGGTGAGAATGGGTAGAACAGCCCGTTCGTTCATTTAGCAGGTGAAAATTCTGACTCCCCTGTATATTTCCAACCTTGCAGGTTTTGGTTATCAGTCTGAACTTGAGTTGAGAGTGGCGGAAGCTGCCCGAAGACAGTATAACAAACTGAAGATGCAGACCAAGGCAGAAATCCGGCAAACTCTTGATCGTTTGCTAGTGGGTGACTTCATTGTAAGTGGGCACATGTAAATACTCCTTGGGGCTGGGGAAAGGACAAACATTCTTTCTGTCAAGTTTATTGATCATATTCATTGTACTGATTAAGTAAATTTAAAAGGTGAAATCCTACTCAGCTAGCACAAAATAAAATCTTGACTTTTATAGTCAAGGTCAAACTTAAAAAATGAATAGGGGTGAATTGTGCATTGGTAGACTGCTGTGCTCTTCAAGGCTGATCCAGGTGGGATAGTTCCAGGTTCATACCCTGAAGCCTCCCTGAGTATGCCATATCTGCATGTGCCATGATCTTTGCCTCAGGGTGGATGGCTGCATCAAGACCCTGTTGAGGGTGCTGTTTCTCCATTTCTCTTTGTCTTATTCATTCAAGGGATAAATAAATAAACCTTTGAAAAGAAGAAAAAGTGACTGTGACTAGATTGTATTGTTTCTTCATATCAATCTGGGAATCCTTCTAAGACTTGTTCCATTTACCAGACCTGATATTCTGTGAATATTTCACTTAAGATCTTGTTTTTATTTACTGTCGTCTGAGGAAATACTGACTGATGCCTCAGCTTCTTTCCAGGGTTTGAGAGTCACTTTGTGATGCCAGGTGGCCAACTAACTTGCCAGGATACCATAGGTAAAGAGAGCCAAGAATCATCTTAACAGTCTAGCAAAGCAGTGTCTGACAGTGTGGTCTGGAGGTGCGCTGCAAAATGACAGCAGTAGGTGGAGCAGTTAGAAAGAGGATGCTTCTTTTGAACTGTGCAGAGCCAGTTGTAGGTGTTAAGGGAAGGCATAAATGTTTGAAGTGAAATGCTTAGGGGTATGTAGTAAGGGATGGAGAGTTCTGTTTTTGTTTTGTGATGTGTGTGTGAGTATATGTGTGTCTGTGCTTCAATGCAAAAGATAACAATATCTTCTTGTTTTCGTGCACGAAATAAATTTATTTTTGTTTCTTTTTTCCTTTTCTTTTTTAATTGTTGGAGGGCACATGTATTTGCCAGAGAGAGAAAAAGTGAAAGTTCCTCTCTCAATGCCACGGGATAGAGAAAGAAGGGAAGAGAGAGAGAGAGACCAACCCCTGAATGGCATATAGTCCTACTGGAATTCCTTCTCCATTTTTCAATTCTGTCAGTATTTTGGGCACTGCATGCACACATGCCTGGTGTGTTTTTCAAGCCACCGCAGGCAGAGATTTGAACCACAGTTGGCCACATGGGGGTCTGGCTTTCTACACACAGCACTTAACCACTGTGCTGTGCAATCAACCCAAGAGGTTTCTTTTTGTTATTTAGATAAATTAGATTTTACCACAGATGTACAATTGAAGCTAATTTTAGTTGCAGGGAAGAACAATTAACACACTAATGAATTGGTGTGTTATTTATAATTCAAATGTCGTAGCTTAAGTTTTTTACTAAGATATTTTGGCTTGAAAGATCATGATTATCAGTGTTCATGGATAGCAAAAATATTTGGATTTCTGTGTTTATTTGAATTCCATAATTTCCACAATTTAAAAAATATAAAGCCCTATAAAGTAGAAACAAAATCTTTTTTTGGGGGGGAGGGGGGGAGCTTTTTTGCTCTAGGGCACATGTGCTCGCTCGCCAGAAAGACAGAGTGAGACAGAGAGATAGAAAGCCAGAAATCACCCTCCGGGGGAATGGCCACGCTGCAATCCCTTCTCCTCCATCCTTCTCTCGGGATTTGGGCACACACGCACACACGCCCAGTGTGATTTTAAGCCACCGGGTCTGGGACTCGAACTGCTGTTGACCACATGGGAGGTCAGTGACATAGCCATTACGCTAACTGTTGGTCCCTAGAAACGAAATCTTTATTAAACAATTGATCAGAGTCAAAGTACAAACAATACCTCAAATCAATATTTGATAGTTTTTTCTTCCCACATCAGACATTTGCCTGGGATAGTATCTCAAATCCTCAAGCAATTGAATCTACTTTCATCTTAAACTTTTTGTTTTGATACCATAAACCACTAAGTCACGCTGTAACTTTAAGTGTGGCTTAAGGAAATAGTTGAACGCTGCTGATAAGGTGTTTAATTTCAGTAGTTACAGTTAACGATTATTTAATTGATGCTGATTTTATTTTACAGGAGGACAGTAAACGGTGGACTGTGCGATTAGATATTTCTGCTCCTCAGGTGATATTTCCTGATGATTTCAAATTCAAGAATCCTGTGTTAGTTGTTGTGGACCTTGGAAGAATGCTGCTGACAAATACCCAAGGTATAAAGTGAATGTGAAGTGATGAAGACATATTATGGTAGATTGATATGCTTAGCTAAAGCTTAACAAAAGGTTTATAAAACTATTTTTTTATTTTTTGGATTGCTCAGGGGCATGTTTACCAGCCAGAGAAAGAGAGAGTGGCAGAGAGAGAAGGACCCTCCTGTGGGGTGTGAGCACACTGCACTCCCTTCTCTTCTATTTTTCTATCCTGCTGAGATTTGGGGCATGCATACATACATGCCTGGCATGTTTTCTAAGCCACTGGGACTGGGATTCAAACTGTGGTTGGACATATGAAATCCAGTTCCCTTAACCACTGGTTTACAGGACCAGTTGTACATAACAGTTTTTTCTTAACTCCAAAATTCACTTCTTACTTTTTATATAATAGCTTTATTGAGATATAGTTCATTTAAAAATGCACAGAGTTCAGTTGTTTTTGATATGCTGATAGAATCTTGTAATTACTGGACAAGCAAATGATGTAATGGTTACATTACTAGACTCCCACATGGCCGACTGCCATTTGAGTCCTGGACTTGGAGTCTTCAATCCCATACTGGGTGCATTTGTGTGCGTGCCCAAAATCCTGAAAGGAGAATGGACAAGGGATTGCAGTGTCACTATCCCCACCCCCCCAGTAGGAGGGTGATTTTTTGCTTTCTGTCTCTCTGCCAACCACACGTGTCCTATAGCAAAAATCTCTCTTGTTACAAAAAAGAACTTATACAATTATCAGGGGTCAGTAGGTGGCGTGGTGGTGATGGCACTGGACTCCCACATGACTGACTATAGTTCAAGTCTCAGATACAGAGGCTTGAAAACTATGCTGGTCACGTGTGTGTGTGTGTGCCCAAAATCTCAGAAGGGGAGTGGAGAAGAAGAGATTGTAGTGTGGCCATTCCCCCCTAGGGTGATTTCTTACTTTTCCTCTGTCTCTGTCTCTCTCCAGTGAGTGCATGTGCCCCTATGGCAAAACCTTAAAAAAAAAAATGATCACTTATGTTTAATTGCCAAACATTTTCACCCCGCAAAATGAAACTTCACCTTATTGACTGTCACTCTCCAGTGCCCTCTCTTCCACCGTCTTACCGACCAGTCTTTCTCTCTCTATGGATTTACTTATTCCGAATGCTTTATATGAATGGTATATACAATATGTGGCCTTTGTCTGGCTTTTTCACTTACCAGAATATTTTCAAGGTTCATCCATTTTATAGTATATGTTAGTACTTTATACCTTTTTATGACAAATAATAATTCATTATGTGGATTTACCACCTTTTGTTTATCCAGTCATTTGTGGACATTGAGTTGTTTCTACATGTTGACTATAATGGATAATGCTGCGGTAAACATTTATGTGCGGGTGTTTGTGTAGACTTGCGCTTTCAGTTCTCTTGCATATCTAATTTATCTGTTTTGATTAGGGACATATATAAAAAGAGACACCGGGAAGGTAATTTTCTCCTTGTTATTACATCTGAAAGTATTCACTGAGGTGGGGCGGAGGAATGAGAGGGTTCATGGGGTACAAGAAATAGAAGAAATTTATCAATCTGAACCTTACCTCCTCTGGGAAGACCTGAAAATAGAAGACGGTAGAGTACCTGAGCAGAAATGGAAGTTTGGTGCTAAGAGGAATGTGGAAAGGGAGTTAGATTTGAGCAAAAAGCCCGTACAAACACAGAGAACGCCTACTTGAATTTAAAATTTATTTATTTAAGTGTTAAAGGAACAGAGACATAAGTGACAGAAGTCAGTAGTGTGTTTTTATGTTTTTCAGCACAACAGCTCAGCTGTGGAAAGAGGGGTTAAGAGTGGACTCTGGTGCTAGACCTTCATGTGTTGTGAGTTATTGCTCACCAAACACTGTCTAGGCATCAGGGATGGTATGTTGGACAGGACAGCTGGGACTTCTCTTCTCTTGGAACATTCTAGGGGGAGAAACAAAATGAATGCAAAAGGAAAAAGTAAGAAGGGTTAGTGATTGCAGTTCTTGGTGGTACAGCTCAGAAGGTGGGGAGCAGTGTTAGGCAGTAGGCAACAGTTCCTGTAGCCTGACTGTGAGTGTCAGCTGTTTTTGTGTTCCTGTATGTTCACCCATGTTTTAACTTCCAGTTAATAAGTTTGTACTGAATAAACGATAAATATCGAATATTAAGCAGGGAGTTTTCATCTATTTTTTTTTTAATTGTGATTGATTGCTTTTATACTTTTTGTGATGGTACATGAAGGG